GGGAAAGAGCGTTTGATGGGAAAACGAGACTCCATCGTTGCGAAACCTGCCTGTTCATCCACTAATCTCGTCGCGTTGCGTCGTCACGTGTGTGGGGTTACGTGAACGGGGTCTGAAGACGTTTCTTGAGTTTTCACTCCGTCATTGGATCGTTCACTTGCCATTTCGCGTGTCTTGGGACAGAGATCGACAGAGTTGACGATGTCAATTTGCTGTACTAGCTGGGAACTGGTCTTTTTGTCGCGCGTGGACATGGGATAATAGATTTATCGCGGTATAGTTCTCATCCTCGCCACCAGATGGATTCCTAACTTCTCGCAAGTCCTCCATCATCAAACACCGTCCATTTTCTATATATACAATTTCCAAACTTTTCAATAGTATCCCCGCCTAAGGCAGTGTCTACTAGATAGTCCCACACCTCTTCCTATTTATTTATTTATCTAATTACTTATTTATCTAGTCGATCCCCACTTCGTAACCCACCTAAAACCAAAAGCTGTGTAGTTTTCGTGCCTTTCTATACATAGGCAAACACGCATTCTAATATAAAACAATTCTTAGGTTTATATTATCCTGTAGCGATAGGCACGCTAGATTAAGTTTGATTTTAAATCGCAAGTGCTTCACGCTGGAGCCATCCATCTCATAGTCTAAGTTTCCATTTGTAACCCTTTTGTATGTTTTGGTTTTCTTTCATATGTATATTATTGTATCTAGTTTCTGGCGCATTATACTTATGTTAAATTGGCGTATTAGCCTGCTAGGTAGCCTTATTGATGAGTTCACTAGCAAGCCCTGCTAGGTAGCCTTACCGATGAGTCCACTAGCAGACCCAGGACGAAATACATCCCTTCCTTTTCCTTTCGTCACATGGAGGATACCTATGACTATCCGATTTCAACAACCGTGGGAATAGGGGAGACCCCCTACAGATAGTTAGACTTGGATGATCAGCTAGCTCCGAGCTTTCTGACGAGATTTGAACAAAGGAACAATGAGAGGGTTGTCCAGTCTTAGAGTTTTAGAGTTTCCTAGGTCTGTAGCCTTGGCTGAAAGTGTTCTATGTTGGTTTATTCCAAGATGGCGTCTGCCATGCGGTTTTCGGTCCGCCACGTGTCGGCATGAGTGGAATAGAGGCTAACAGAGGAAGCTGGGTGCGAGCAGCTGGTGGAGCGAAAGAATTGTTATCGCGAACAGTGGTCTGTGAGAGTAGATACCACGGTTCTTCGGCTGACTTGGTCTAGAAGTAGCGAATCCTGCTGATAGACGTGAAATATGTTTGCGAGAAATATTACTCTGACCCCGTGGAAAGTATAGCTGATAAACAGGAATTAGGTAACAAGTATAAAAACAGCTTTCCAGGTCTTTGGACCCGTTTTTACGCGATGAAATCCGCGCAAAGATCGAAGGTCGTTAATCTTATTGAGCGTTTAGGTTTGAATATTAGGTTTGAAAGATTAAGTGATTATGCAAGGGCGGAAAGGAATTATTGACACGACGAGCATAGAGACGTAGAATATTGTCTACGTGTTTGCGTCAATGGAATTTCATTGACGTAAATGTCGCAAAAAAACCGGCTCATAGTATGGAAATATCGACCCTGAGACATAATGCTGCACATGGCTTCTTCCTTGTTTGCGATAAATGTACTATTAACTTTCATACCGTCAAGTGATACATGATCGAGGCATGTATCACTTTGTAGGTATTGTATATTTATTGTTACATATTGCAATATAGATAATATTTAAGTTTTATAGAATTTGGTTAGGCTCACTGTCATCAGTGAGACACGAGTTGAGAATTGATTATGTATAACTATTTAGCATCATCATAGTGAATTTGATATATTTTTTATATTTAATATCATCAATTTGTAAATATTCATTGATCATTCGTGGTTTCCAATGTCTCTTCGCTAATATCCACTGGATATTAACGTATCCAAAGTATTGGATTACATGTTATCCAAGCCTCAATAATACTAGTCAAAGATCAATTACATTTCCTCTCATTAATTTATTAACCTAAACAACTAAATCAAGTACCCAACCCAAGCATTCATCACGATACTCTAACACCAGGTCTATTGTAGATCAGATCTTTAACTCACGAATCCCACCTGCGATTCAATTATACTTGCTGTCAACTTATAAATATCAACACCGATCCTAGATTAGACCTCTCACTCACGAATTGCACTTACGATTCAATTATACTTGCTGTCAACTTATAAACATCGACACCAGTTCTAGATCCGTCCTCTTATTCACGAATGCTATCTGCGATTCAATTATACTTGCTGTCAACTTATAAACATCGACACCAGTTCTAGATCAGTCCTCTTATTCACGAATGCTACCTGCGATTCAATTATACTTGCTGTCAATTTATAAATATCAACACCGATCCTAGATTAGACCTCTTACTCACGAATTGCACCTACGATTCAATTATACTTTCTGTCAACTTATAAACATCGACACCAGTTCTAGATCAGTCCTCTTATTCACGAATGCTACCCGCGATTCAATTTTATACTTGCTGTCAATTTATAAATATCAACCCGATCCTAGATTAGACCTCTTACTCACGAATTGCACTTACGATTCAATTATACTTGCTGTCAGTTTATAAAAATCGACACCAGTTTTAGATCAGTCCTCTTATTCACGAATGCTACCTGCGATTCAATTACACTTGCTGTCAATTTATAAATATCAACACCGATCTCAGGTTAGACCTCTTACTCACGAATCCCACCTAGGATTCAATTATACTTGCTGTCAATTTATAAACATCGACATCAGTTCTAGATCAGTCCTCTTATTCACGAATGCTACCTGCGATTCAATTATACTTGCTGTCAATTTATAAATATCAACACCGATCTCAGGTTAGGCCTCTTACTCACGAATCCCACCTAGGATTCAATTACACTTGCTGTCATCTATTTATCAATATTCACCAATCATTTCTGACCTTCACTGTCTCCAATAAAAGCAATGAAATAAAATCCAAAATGAACTAACCATACCTCATCCAAACCCAATCCAAACGTCACCCACGACTCCCAAACACCTTAGGAATCCCACCTGCTATTCAATTGCACTTGCTGTCATCTATTTATAAATATTCAATAATTATCCCAAGACTTCACTGTCTCCAATAAAAACAGTGTAATAAAATCCAAAATGAACTAACCATACCTCATCCAAACCCAACCCAAATGTCATCTACGACACTCCAACATCAGTCCTAGATCAGACCTCTAACTCACGAATGCCATCTACGATGCAGTTGCAGTAATCGCGGCTAATCAACGAACTACGTTTGTTGCAGATCCAGAAAACGTCGACCCAGCTCGAGTAACGACTCCGAGCGGTCGTACAGTGGTTGGAGCGACAGGATACCCCACGGATGTGGCCGTGAGGGGTGCCGTACCAACGAACGCGGCGACTGCATGGACGAGTGCACCGCGGCGCTGGTCCTCATGTCGCTCTCGTGCTCGCCACACAGCCCTCACAATCCCCTGCCACTGCACTGCCAACACAATTACGGTCAGTATCATCTGGCCAACAGCTAGTTGCAACATCTTTGTACGATCCGAGTTTGCGAGCTCCGAGTTAGTAGACGTTTCAGGGTATCAGGGGTCTGAGTTAGAGGTAAGTTAAGAGTAGCTTCAATCGGCCACTGGTGAGGGAGATTTACATACTTGGTGATGTGATTGATTCGTTATGCAGGTTATTCGAGACTTTCTTATTTTCCTAGATTTTTATTTTTATAATATTCTGTTATTTTATGAGGTTTATCGATTCTTAAGTTTACTTGAAGGGGTGGCAGATATTTATGGGAAAAAATGGAAAATTGCAAATGTAAGTTAGAGGATGGTATTTTTGAGAAGGGGTTATATAAGGGTGAGGGTGAACATCTAGATTTGGTATTTGGATATAACATAATTTGAAAATGATTCATGTGTTAATATCGATAGTGTGTATTATAATAGTGGAATGTATAAATATTTTGACGAAGGAATTAGGGCAAAGTGTCGAATGTGGGGGTAGCTGCAAAGGGTTGAAAAACGAAAGGACTTGGGACGATACGAGGGAAGTTGGTAAAAATAGACGAATCCCACCTAGGATTCAATTATACTTGCTGTCAATTTATAAACATCGACATCAGTTCTAGATCAGTCCTCTTATTCACGAATGCTACCTGCGATTCAATTATACTTGCTGTCAATTTATAAATATCAACACCGATCCTAGATTAGACCTCTTACTCACGAATTGCGCTTACGATTCAATTATACTTGCTGTCAGTTTATAAAAATCGACACTAGTTTTAGATCAGTCCTCTTATTCACGAATGCTACCTGCGATTCAATTACACTCGCTGTCAATTTATAAATATCAACACCGATCTCAGGTTAGACCTCTTACTCACGAATCCCACCTAGGATTCAATTATACTTGCTGTCAATTTATAAACATCGACATCAGTTCTAGATCAGTCCTCTTATTCACGAATGCTACCTGCGATTCAATTATACTTGCTGTCAATTTATAAATATCAACACCGATCTCAGGTTAGGCCTCTTACTCACGAATCCCACCTAGGATTCAATTACACTTGCTGTCATCTATTTATCAATATTCACCAATCATTTCTGACCTTCACTGTCTCCAATAAAAGCAATGAAATAAAATCCAAAATGAACTAACCATACCTCATCCAAACCCAATCCAAACGTCACCCACGACACCCAAACACCTTAGGAATCCCACCTGCTATTCAATTGCACTTGCTGTCATCTATTTATAAATATTCAATAATTATCCCAAGACTTCACTGTCTCCAATAAAAACAGTGTAATAAAATCCAAAATGAACTAACCATACCTCATCCAAACCCAACCCAAATGTCATCTACGACACTCCAACATCAGTCCTAGATCAGACCTCTAACTCACGAATGCCATCTACGATGCAGTTGCAGTAATCGCGGCTAATCAACGAACTACGTTTGTTGCAGATCCAGAAAACGTCGACCCAGCTCGAGTAACGACTCCGAGCGGTCGTACAGTGGTTGGAGCGACAGGATACCCCACGGATGTGGCCGTGAGGGGTGCCGTACCAACGAACGCGGCGACTGCATGGACGAGTGCACCGCGGCGCTGGTCCTCATGTCGCTCTCGTGCTCGCCACACAGCCCTCACAATCCCCTGCCACTGCACTGCCAACACAATTACGGTCAGTATCATCTGGCCAACAGCTAGTTGCAACATCTTTGTACGATCCGAGTTTGCGAGCTCCGAGTTAGTAGACGTTTCAGGGTATCAGGGGTCTGAGTTAGAGGTAAGTTAAGAGTAGCTTCAATCGGCCACTGGTGAGGGAGATTTACATACTTGGTGATGTGATTGATTCGTTATGCAGGTTATTCGAGACTTTCTTATTTTCCTAGATTTTTATTTTTATAATATTCTGTTATTTTATGAGGTTTATCGATTCTTAAGTTTACTTGAAGGGGTGGCAGATATTTATGGGAAAAAATGGAAAATTGCAAATGTAAGTTAGAGGATGGTATTTTTGAGAAGGGGTTATATAAGGGTGAGGGTGAACATCTAGATTTGGTATTTGGATATAACATAATTTGAAAATGATTCATGTGTTAATATCGATAGTGTGTATTATAATAGTGGAATGTATAAATATTTTGACGAAGGAATTAGGGCAAAGTGTCGAATGTGGGGGTAGCTGCAAAGGGTTGAAAAACGAAAGGACTTGGGACGATACGAGGGAAGTTGGTAAAAATAGGTAGCATTTAATCTACAGGCTGAGAAGCCGTACGCGTGAGGGTGGCCTTGAGCAACTAAAATCTTCGGCTTCGGCTGTCATACTGAAAACATAGTAATTAATGGTAACCGGCTGTTCCTTCCTGTTTCTCCGTTTCGCAAATCCAACATGCTTCGTGTATTAAGTTCAAGCAACGATATCGATGCTGCAAGTGCAATTACCAGCGATTCCAATCGCATATCCGAGCAACATGGCCGTGAATTCAACCTTGCCACAATGTCTGACAGACGTCCTATCTAATCTCAATTTCGCGTTGAGATTACACCCAATCGCGGGTCAATTTGCAACGATCTATCAGCTCAACTGTCTCGTCGATTATAAATTTTCAAAGCTCGATGGACGAGCGAAGCATTGCTCTATTTCTTCGTATCGAGATTTCATTAATCGATCTTCTCCAATTTTCTACGATTCCTTCCTTCTTCTTGGATAACCTGAAATTCAACGCACTTGGGGTTTAACGTCCTATCTAATCGGTTGATTAGATCTCGAGGTATCTAGCACACCGTTTTTGAAAACGTGTTTAAAGTTTCCAAACGTAATTCTTCTTTTTGCTTGAAATAATTTCTTTCAAAGGCTGGAACCATTTGCAATTTATTTTTGAGACTTCAAATCGCTATTTGAAACAAGAAAACAGAGAAATATCGATTTTTTGAGTATTTCAAAGTGGTCGGATTCGTTGATAAAAGAGGAAGGAAATAGATAGCAGAAAATAGTTGGAGCGATTATCCTAATTCCTCCGTTTTATAGTTTAAAAAAAGAAAAAAAAAGAAAAATTCTGTGAAGGATCGAAGTCGTATAAAAATGGCGGGATGATGCAATGCACGCGAGCATGCGATCCCGCCATTATCCGTTGCCCTGCATCGGCCTTTGCCGAATAAGTACGCAGCTTAACAGATAAGCTGTTTATCCACGACTGGGTAACACTTTCTCTCGTAGATTCCACTCCCAAAGACTTACTTTCCACTTACGAATCGAGTCTCCGTAATATTACATTATACGCTTAACGATCATCCCTCTTAGACCGCGCAGTGCGCGTCGGCCATTAGGAATCCTAACCTCTAAACGTTACAAAATCGCGAAGACCTAAAATAAATCAAGAAAACAGAGACTAATTGAGCCAACTGCCAAAGATGCGAAAGAAAAGTATTGTCCAAACACTTTTGACACTGATAATAATAGCCCACGATAATTTTTATGGAATATCGTGCGAGACTCGTGGAAAGCAACTCGGACCAAATACGAGTATCACGGGTGAGAGACGTGATTTGTAATTATGGCTCAATCTAAACAAGACGTGTCAGGCACGTGGTTTATTTTCACAGATGTCTTATTTTTCGCCGCGTTCGCACAAAATGGCTCGCCGCGTGATCAACTGTGCTGTTGATTATGGCACGCTTTGTCAGAACTTAAATGATAGAACAAGGGATTAATAATATGAACGATTTGCCTACATTTCACTTAAAAGGCAAATCTGAAGAATATTCCTTCCTACCCCTAGAAATATTAACAAAAATTCTCGATAAAAGCACCGACCACTAAAACCCCTAACCTCTAACATCATACAGTGTCGTTAGCAACTACAAGATCACGTGATCAGAAAACTGCAGAGCCCCAGAATAACTCACTTACGAATAGAATCAAATTGGTCTAATTGCCAAAGTCAAACAAGAAACACTGTCTAAATATCTCTACCCACACGTGCCTTAAACTCGCAACCAAGTACTGTGCATTCGAGAGAAGAAGGCACAGCGTGTTTACATCCTCATGCCTATCTAACTCCGCTGATATCCCATGATCACAGGCAGTGACCACTATTGACAGATGATCTTCGTCATCGTTTTCAGGCAATTTTCAGCCACTGCCTGTGAGCAAGGAAGTCTCAGCCATGAGGATGTAAACACGTTGTGCCTTCTTCTGCCAAACGCACAGTATATCCACACCCATACACACACCAGCGACACACCTTCACCAAATCGACCAAGTTATTTAATTGTGAAAACCCTTATCTTCCATCCACAAGATTGCCAAGGAGCTCGCAATCCCATTTAAACCTACCTCCAACCTGCAAACGCGTGAACACGCCTAACTAACCAATTACCAAATCGATCAGGTTGTTTAATTAAAAAAATCCCTTCTATTTCACGTCTAAGGTTCCTGGGGAGGTCGAGGAGGGGGCGGTGGTGGCATGGTAGTCGGCTCGCCAGGGGTCGGTGGCACGTCGAACAGCAGCAGCAGCAGCAGCGGGGCTTCATGGCGGAGTGGCACCCCTAGTCCGCCTCTCAGCGACGAGGGGGCGCCCACCACCGGCTCTCTATGGCCGACATCCGCTCATCCTTCGCACAATCAGCAGCACTACCCTTATAACGTCTCTGGCTCGTCGTCCAGTAGCACCCCAGGCTCGATCACCACCCTGGACGAGGGTATAGTGCCCGATTACCTCGAGGAGCAGCACCCGCGCAAGAAGAAGGTCAGTGATATACATGTATCTCCATTTTTCCCATCGATGCTGGGATGGATCCGCTTATCTGATAACCTCGAGTGCACCGCGTTCTTCCGACACTCGCTAATCCGTCTCTCGATGAACTTGGCCTTCGCGAATTATCTGTCGTTATGGCTGCTGCTTTGCTGCCTAGATACCGAGTCAGTCCTCGCTCCTTCCGTTTATAGACGAGCTTTTATAAGCTTTATCGGCACAGGTTGACATACGGGATTAGTCATCTTAATCGTCATTGCTAGAGATAGACGTTAGGTGGGCTGGAGGGGGACTGTTTCCAAGGAAGCTGCCAGTGACAGGACTCTGGTTATGGGGTTACGGGATACAGACAGGAATTCTTTTTAACGAGGATGGATTTATGTGGATTGGACAGATAGGTTCATTCTTCTTTAGGCTCGTAGTCTAGTCCTTGACGAGGATACCAGGTCCGATTTTGAGCTTCGCGTGTAGTGGGACTTTTGGGCAAGTCGGTTGACAGAGTTTAGGTCTTTTCGCGCGAATAGCTAACGTATTCTGTCGTGTTAAAGATAAAGAGTATACCTGAAATAGAGGGTAGAAGATTGCGGATATAACGGGTGTTCTGAATAATAACGGACGTGTCAGGAAACTGAGAAATCTTGGGACCACGTCTATAATCGACTTTCTCGAGAACGTCGGCGGATTTATGAAATATTCCATAGCTGGCTAGATCCGTGTTTAAAAAACGGATTCGCAACGAAATCTCGAAAGTTTACTTTTACTCGGCACTTTCATCCACTACTTTTACTTTCTGACTCGTTTTTCTTATCAAGTCCTCCTTGACGCGCGTCAGTCTTCGTGACGAGGAAGCTGCATCAAATTTCGCAAAGTCTTCGAGATAAGATTAAAAAAATTGCCGCCATTTCTTTTTCCAAACATTCGTTTACATGTTCGTCGATTCGAAATTCAGGCCCAAAAACTGGACGTTATTCCTGATTTAAAGATCAATTTAAGTTCGAGAGAAATTTCGAAATTTGTATTTCATTTATATTTCGAAATAAATGTAAATTTATTTCGGAATTATATGCTGACAAATTTCCAAATTTTATTATCACGGATAAACGTAATTTTGATCATCAAATTGCTTATTTAGTACTCGATATTAAATTTCAAATTCCAAAGAGGTTACATTTTACTCGCGCGGCGAGTCATTTTTATCAATCGGTAATCTGTTCGATCGCAAAAAAAGAAATCGCTATGTCACGGGAAAGTAACATGGTAAAATCGCAAGAGGGTACAGCGCCGTTTACTCGATATTAATATAACAGGTACCAAATGAGGGTCATTATCGAGGAAAAATGAATTACATAAGGTCGCTTTACCTTAAGCTAAATTCCCCTTTGAACGACGAAAATCCCCTTCCTGTATGGGGTACGCGAATGTTTCTTAATTACACAAAATTACATCGTATTAAAACATTATTGCGATGATCCGATAAGAAATACCGATACGAATAAATTACACGGGAGGATAAGCTGCGCGAAATTGGTATGTCATTACCACGAAATTGCCGCGAGACCTATTACCCGATTACCTTACGAATCACTCGGAACCGCGACACGATCGTCCATTACGCGAAATTAACACGATTGGTCGTTCCCGGGATATAATAACTTCCAAAATCGCCGAGTTCGATCAATGCTCGCGGAACATTGGCAGTCCCGTGGCCCCTGTTGACCCTAATCTCTGTCAAGCTAGCCGAGCCAGAGAGACGATTTTTCATAAAGCCTGGCTGTGGCGGCGCCGATAAGTGCCACGAATCGTTTCTGACCGGTTTTATCGTTTTCGTGAACCACGGAGATCATGCTGGAACGTTGTCCAAGGGTTATCGCCGGCAGCTCGGTCGCGAACGCACAATTAAATCGCTCATAAGGCGTGGCGGACTTATCTCCTCGAACTTAGCTCCTTCCGCGTTCGAGAGCTCACATTTAATTAACGCCAACGCGAACGATAAAGCCAGTTGCGTAACAACACGACGAGGCAAGCAGGGTGCACGATGCACATGCGATCCCTAGGCTGGAGTTGATCTACGCCAGCCGGGGCAAACCGGCGTCGTACTCGAGGGTTCGCGCGGTGTTGGCTTCTGAAAGGGTTTGTAGACGTAGAGCGGGGTGCAGTGTGGAGGAAGTGTCATGGATTGTGATTTTTCGGTGAGTGGTTCACGCAGAATGCTTGTAGAAAGTTAGGCTATGTCTAAGACGTAGGTCTTAGATTTTGGGTAAACCTAGGAGTAGGGTTCTTGGGAACGTGATTACGATGTTGAATGTATAAAGAGGGGATAGAGGTGATTGGATTGTTGAGGAAATTTCGTGGATTGTGATTTTTAAAACAGTGATATACCCAGAATGCTTGTGGGAGGTTAGGCTGTGTCAGGCATAGGTCTTGCTCTTGGGTGTACCTAGGAATAGGGTTCCTGGGAACGTGATTACGATGTTGAATATATAAAAAGGAAATAGAGATGATTGGATTGCCGAGGAAATATCGTGGATTGTGATTTTTAGATGAATTATATACCCAGAATGCTTGTGGGAGGTTAGGCTATGTCAGACATAAGTTTTGGTCTTCCTGGGCTTGGGTGTTCTTAGAAGTGAGGTTCTTGGGAACGTGATTACGATGGTGGATTTATCGAGAGAGGATAGAGGTGGTTGGATTGCTGAGGAAATATCGTGGATTGTGATATTTCGATGAGTGATATACCCAGAATGCTTGGAGAAGGTTAGGCTATCAGCGATAGGTCTTGGCCTTGGGTGTTCTGAGGAGTGGGGTTCTTGAGAACATGATTGCAATGGTGGACTTATATAGAGGGAATAGAGGAGGATGAATTGTGATGTCTTGATGAGTGATATACATAAGATAGTTAGAGGTGCTTAAATTAGAACTTGGTTTCATTCTGACGTATTTGGAGTGCGATTTCTTGAGTCTTATATCGCGATGTTAAATCTATAGGAGGATTAAAGAATGATTGGACTTCTGATAAAATATTGTGGACTGTGACGTTTAGATAAATACCTTACATGAGATAATTGGAGGTACTTAGCTTAAGTTAGGACCAAGTTTCAGTCTAAGATGTTTGTAATGTTGTTTTTAGCGATTTAGATTACAGTGTAGTTGTGATGTGTTTTGGTGAATGATGCATGTACCATATTCGTAGGAGATCAGCCTACTCTAAAGTTGGGTCTCATCTTAGCTATTTAAGGTAAAATTCTTATGGACCTAGATTACAGTGTTGGATCTATAAAGAAAGTACAAAGTGAGGTACAGCTCAGTGAAACTGCTAGACATAGTGATGCCCTTATGATTCCTAATAAGTAAGTCTCTTATGAGACGTTAGGTTTTTGTCTTAGGCATTTAGAGTATGGTTCTTGGGATCATAGATCACATTAGAAAATAGAGCGAAGTAAACCGCAGAGAAAAATATACCACGGAGTGTGAATAATGTAAAATATGTTTAGAGGTTAGACCACCCTACCATAGGTCTAATAGGTTAGGTTTTACATGACACGAAAGCGATTCTTAAAAAGATAGGACGTGTCTGCTTTGTGCTGTCTTCCATTATCTACTCTCGCAGCTTATGTTTAAAAATTGACACTCTGTGACCGGTCTCTCATCTCGAAACTTTAAAAATTGACATTCTGTGACCGGTCTTTGATGTTGGAAGTCTAAAATGTGACTTCCGAAGACGAAGAATTGGATTACAAGGAAAGATAACAAGTATCGCAGTGACTTGCACTTATCTCGTTTAGATTGCACAGCTTTTATTTACGATTTACATTTCACGGGCATCGCGAATGTTTATTAAATCGTTCTATCATGACGAAATGAATTATCTCCATTCTGAAATTATTTTGTTAAACTCGTTGAACTCTTAACAACGAGAATATGGAGCTCGACATAACGCGATGTCTTTATTCGAATTTTAACCCTTTCGCTACTGTGGGTGAGTATAGTCACCAACTACAAGACGCCATCTACGCACCAAAGGGGAGTATAGTCACTAACTACGGGACGCCATCTACACACGACGGGAGACTAGTCATTAACTACGAGACGGCCATTTACACACGATGCGTGACTATAGTCACCAACTACAAGACGCCATCAAAGGAAATAGAGATGATTGGATTGCCAAGGAAATATCGTGGATTGTGATTTTTAGATGAATTATATACCCAGAATGCTTGGGGGAGGTTAGGCTATGTCAGACATAAGTTTTGGTCTTCCTGGGCTTGGGTGTTCTTAGAAGTGAGGTTCTTGGGAACGTGATTACGATGGTGGATTTATCGAGAGAGGATAGAGGTGGTTGGATTGCTGAGGAAATATCGTGGATTGTGATATTTCGATGAGTGATATACCCAGAATGCTTGGAGAAGGTTAGGCTATCAGCGATAGGTCTTGGCCTTGGGTGTTCTGAGGAGTGGGGTTCTTGAGAACATGATTGCAATGGTGGACTTATATAGAGGGAATAGAGGAGGATGAATTGTGATGTCTTGATGAGTGATATACATAAGATAGTTAGAGGTGCTTAAATTAGAACTTGGTTTCATTCTGACGTATTTGGAGTGCGATTTCTTGAGTCTTATATCGCGATGTTAAATCTATAGGAGGATTAAAGAATGATTGGACTTCTGATAAAATATTGTGGACTGTGACGTTTAGATAAATACCTTACATGAGATAATTGGAGGTACTTAGCTTAAGTTAGGACCAAGTTTCAGTCTAAGATGTTTGTAATGTTGTTTTTAGCGATTTAGATTACAGTGTAGTTGTGATGTGTTTTGGTGAATGATGCATGTACCATATTCGTAGGAGATCAGCCTACTCTAAAGTTGGGTCTCATCTTAGCTATTTAAGGTAAAATTCTTATGGACCTAGATTACAGTGTTGGATCTATAAAGAAAGTACAAAGTGAGGTACAGCTCAGTGAAACTGCTAGACATAGTGATGCCCTTATGATT